CACTAATTTGCGCCATAGGAGATTTAGCGCCATAGGTGCGCCATAGGAGTTTTTGCGCGCCATAGCAAAATGTGAGTGTTTTATCCACAAAATATTTCGATTTTTCCATTGGTATACTCATTTAACATGTTTTGGTAAAGTATCATTTAAAAAAAATGTGTACTTTGTTAGAAAATCGATCTTGATTACGAAGCACTTTTACACTAATTAGCGCCATACGTGTTTTTTCACGCCATAGCTAAATATAAGAATTATTTTCAGCAATTAACTGTGTTTTTCCTTTGGTATATGCAATATACAGGTTTTGGTAAGTTTCATTCTTAAAAATGTTTATTTTGTTAGTAAATCGACAAAATATTTCTTCACGATTCACAAGTCAATTTCAAGGGAAGTAACTCGTACATTTGCTAAATACTCTTCAGGTACGAAGACATTTTACAAATGTTGTTAAGAGTTATCAACCTTCACTAATTTGGGCTGAGGATGATTTATCAATGTGAATAGGATAATATTTCCCTACAGAGCGTCAGAGTTAAGTAAATCAACTTAGCCAAATTAGAAACAAGGAAATCATACACAATTGTATCACAAATACTACAAAGACTGAGAAATACCCACCCAGACCGTCCTCAGTGAACTGTATAGTTACAGTAAGCACTCGGAATCCTTTGGCACCCAAACTACTGCCACAGCTCAGAGAGTTGGCCCAACCTGTAAATGAATTGACACGAACAGTAACTGAGTAATCACATCATCATTTAAAGAATGAAATAATCTCATTATTGAACAATCTACAATGATCAGTTTAATGGATGGAAACAGTTGTCAACAACCTATTTTGTTAATTCAATTTAAATTTAAATTAAAAAAAAAAAAAATTGAAATGTACATATTAAGACAGCTATGATGTACGTAAAATGTATTTAAGTTAGGCTTAATTTAATAAGTTGTAAGAACTTGTGCCCAATCCTTTTTGTCATTTTCAAGGCAATACAAATATGTTTAAACCAACGGATGGGTGTCAATGACCTAATTCTACCTATCTTTGACTGTTCTTACACTATACACGGGGAAAGTATATTTGCATGCTTTTGAAGAGGACACCAATTAACAATGGTATTCAGGAATTAATGGTATGACGATGCTTATGTAATAGAAAATATGTGTAAATTAAATTTAAATTTAAATTTTTAACCAATTTGTTATCAATTTCATTAATTTTGAAAACTAGTGTGAGCTGTTTGAGCTTCCAAAACTATACCCCACAGAGATTTGACCAAGAGGGTAGTGTTTTATGTGGCACATATGCACTGCATGTTAGATTTATGGTTTCATATACTAGTCTTTATCGGTGATACAGAGAACTGTGTGTTATCTGCAACATCTCCTTTCTCCTAAAACACAAACAAATAATGTTCCAGCACTACTAACTGGTGTTATTCATCAATTCAAAATACATTTATAGCTTGAAGAAATTTTGAAATAATTTGACCTTTAACCTGGCCCCTTTCTTGGAGTATTTGAAATCATCAATAATGGTAAAATATCAATGCTGTAATACAGTGGCAGATCCACATCCAGAGACTTATCTGGGTTCTTTTCACCCAAATTTCCAGGGGGTGTTTCCATGCGGGGAAAGTTGAGGAAATTGGTGAAATACATGATTTTTATAGAAAATTCTCAGGCTGGGGGAGGGTGTGTGTGTGTGTCCTGAAGCCCCCCAAAAAAAACCTGGATCTGCCAATGTAATACAAACTGAACACAAACTGACCTTTGGCCTTCAGCTCTGACAGAAGACTTCCCTTCGCCTCATGGCCAATCAGGTGGGCGAGATAGTTGCCAGGCTGTACAAGTTGAAGGTAATAAAGAATCAATATCTAACTTTAAACATTTCTGACGTTTATCTGGTCTATATTAAGTTACTACCGTATAACAGGTTATTTACACATTTTATTTATGTATATGAATCGGCACAACCATATGTGCGCTCTTTCATGACAACACATGATGGTTATGAAGTTAATTGTCATGGCTGATTTTTTTTACGCTTTTCATATTATTCTGTGAATCATATTTTCCCAATCGCATAATTGACCCGCAACACTCCAAATACATTCTACTTTTTCTGGTTATTACATCAATTATTCATCCCTTTTCATGTTACAGCAATTACATGTCCAGCAACATTGAAATTCCTAGCAAATCAACCTGTCATTAATTAGCACAAGAAATGTAATCCTATAGCAACAGCAATCGCAAGTGAGCCATGCTTGTCAGCAAAGCACAGGCATGTATAATCCATATTGGTTCATTTTATCACAAAATACTCAGGTGTGGGACATCAAAATGTTTTAAAAGCTAAGGGTTGAAAGATGTAATGCCCAAGAAATGGATACAAATTATGGAGAGAACGTAAATATATCCATGAAAGACCGTGCTGTGTAAGACAGACTGCTTATAAATCATATTAAATGGCAACTATTGAATATAATGGAATAAATATTTTAAAGTTTTTCTTCATTTTACTTTATAAATTTATTGTGAGTATATGTGTATATATAAGATTGACCAGAAGGTTTAACCTTGGCAGTGTAGAAATCCTGTAGGTCAGGGGTGGCCCACATCAAGCTCAGACTCCTTATCTCTTTCACAGGAACTGCATAGCATACTGTCTGTAAAACGAGATCAATTCTATAGGGAGGCAGGATAAAGTTAAAAAGCCAAGGCAAATGGTGGATAAATCCAATTTTCATGTACAAGAGAGCCAAACCAGATGGATAAAATGCCGTATCAAATGGACAGGGTGACATTTGGTTGGAAAAGAAAAGACATTACTTGAAAATTGGAAAAAAATGCAAGATCTGACCCACTACTTATACTTTGCCAAATGATAAAAATTGTGATCTTTCATTAAGGTGATTACAATACACTGCACAAAAAGAAGCCCCCTTCCAGTGAGACTTGTGTCTAATGTGTACATATCGGAGTTAAAAGAACCAGTGTATACTAATTCCCATCCTCCAAACTCCAGGGGTTACGCTCACTTACGCTCACTTACGCTCACTTACGGAATTTACGCTCTCTGCACCATGTCATAGCAAACTTGAAGGCACAAAGATACCTGTTTGATTGGTTTCAGGTAAAAAAAAATCTGATCAATCGCTAGGCTGAAACCTGTCCGTTGAAAGTTACAAAGGAGCGTCACCCGACTTCAAAGTCAGTCAATTTTAACCGTTATGCTACCACAAGAATCTTTTGATTTACATCAAAGGGTCGAACCACATTTTGTAATGTAGTCTTCTTGTCTCATCAACCAGGCGGCGCACACTGTGAGCCTTCGATTTTTCCATGACATATTCCAGGGGTGCAGAGAGCGAAAGTGAGCGTAACCCCTGGAGTATCAAGGATGACCTTACGTGACATTTTACGCTCTATGTAGGACCTCACCATATCAATTAGGTAAGGGAGATAACTGATCTTATTTATCATTAGTGGAAACAAACCTTTAGCTGATCTGGACCATAGGGATGATCAGTCCATTCAGGAACTGTAACGTTCTTATTCTCCACCTCGGCAAACATTGGCAGAACCATTTCTGACAATTCATCTAGCGATTCTGGAAGATGGGGAGAATCACAGCTAGTACAACAAGTCAAAGTATTGTGGGACAATCCTCAGTTTCTCATCATTAAAAAGCCAATATTAACATTAGGGGAAAATGTTATTTCTTATGATAATATTCCAATCAGGTCAGAATAATTGTACAAAAGACACGACAAAGAAATTTTGTTTCAATTATTGGGGTCGGAGGTCGAAATATAGGTCACAGTGACCTATAGTGTTGCAATTTCAAATTTTCGTAATGACTAACATTTTCCTATCAAATTTTAAAATATTTGTTTGTACATCAGTTTCAGCAAAACATAAAATGCATTACATATAAATGGTTGATGTAAAGTACATAAATATAAATCTGTGCATTCCATTTATTGTTGATTTCTGAGGTGTGGTTATAATACACACATATGAATGTTTGAAAGTAATTCATGTTTTTTTTGTGATCAACCTTAATCCCAAATACAATCCACAGACAAAGGAACACCCACCTTTCCCCAACACACACAGTGACATGATGTTAGCCGAGTAATGCTTAGCATGGAAGCTCAGCAGAGCTTCACGGATGTCGATACCCTTTGCCACAGGAATGGTCCCCAATGTGTCTTTATTTCCTAAAATTGTCATATTTACAGTTATCTGTATTAATTAAAAGGTAAAGGAAAACAATTATAACTAAAGAGAAAGCAATTTATTACACAAAATTATCATTTCTGTTCATTCAAAAAAGTTGGTGGAGGAACAGACCCCACTACTTAATTAGTTATACTGATTGTAAAATTATTTAATTTTTTCTTTTTTTATCAATCGTCTTTATTCTAAAATCTCCTTCTATATAAAATTTGAAATCAATCTGACTGTTCCAAAACAGAAAATTAGATTTGATGATATAAGGCTAAATTTTCAGTGTGAAAACCTGCGATCTAATAGTAAAGTTTCAGATCATCTTTCAGATATACAACTTACAACTTCTGTATTTTTTCAACTGGAATACTAATATATTTAGATAACTATATATTACCACATGAAAATTTGCCCCAGTCATGACCAGGTTTAGACAATTTTCTATCTAAGAGAAGTAATCGTCGTCCATCTATGGGGATGTTTTTATCATTCTCTGAGTTGACAGCATTAACTTCTCTCTCTGTGGCCGAGGCTGTAAACAAGGGGCTGATGAAAAACTGGCTTAGTCTGAAACGTAGCAAAACAAACTGTAATCAAGGGGCTGATGAAAAACTGGCTAAGTCTGAAACATAGCAAAACAAACTGTAAACAAGGGGCTGATGAAACACTGGCTTAGTCTGAAACATGAAGTTATTTCAGTTTAGTTACATAAATGATATTGCCTACATTGTGATTGTGCAGTGTTGAATGGTCATTAATTCAATTCCAGATAATATTGAAAAGTCACACTTGTATTTACAACCAGTTGGTAAATATATAACCAGAACCCAGGACCATATAATTAGAAATTGCAACAACTTGAACAACTGTAAGCAGTGGATTATCTACTAGTAATGAAGGTGGCTGCATGACAAATCTCTACCAGAAATGAAGACGGCTAGTTTTATCTTTTGAGAATGAAGGTGGCTGGATTATCTACAGGCAATAAAACAACTTTTCTTATCAGGATCTTTTTATGTAAACACCAAGGTTGCAATATTCTTGTAGCATGCATGACAACTTTTTGGAACATGTCATGCATGTGGGGTTTTGTTTTTACCAATAGACAGCAAAACAAAAATGCAAAATGGATTCATAATTTTCTTAGGGAGCACACGTAACAGCCGTTTAAAGGGCTGTCATACTAGGGCCGCATTCCCACGGCGTCCAAGAAAAATCCAGAACGCCGATCTGTGCGCAGTGGAATCGCAATCATTGCCGCCGCAACGCAGTGGCTTCGCCATAGAACACAGTGGAATCGCATAGAACGCCGAGCGAAGGCATGCACTTTGAGCATGCCAAAAACAAACGCCAATGCTCGGCGTTCTGATAAGAGCGCAGTGGGATCGCGGTGAGGTCGCCATAGTAGCGCAGTTAGGTCTCCTACAACGCCACTGGAGTGCGAATGCAATGGTGCTTGCATGGCGATCGTACTGCGTTCTCTGAGATGACACTGCGTCTCTACTGCACTTATACGGCGCTTACAAGGAGTTTTATTCTTCTTATTGCGCTCTTACAACGATAGTACGGAGGTCATTTATCTTTCCCTGCCTTCTTCACCTTTCTACGTCTTTTGGGGGGCACGGTCTCGACTGTTCGAGAGCAAATGGAAAAATGGAGAACTGATGCAGATATCGTTTTTATAGGTAGTGCAAAACAACATGCCGTCAGCACAGTGTGAGCACCGTGAAAGTGTAGTGCACATGCAGTGCGCGCACCGTGACAACTCGATGCCTGCAGTGGAAGCGCCATGAAAGGGCAGACAATCGTCAACTAGAACTCTGTAGAAACGCCAAGGTCGCTGTGACATTGTCATCTTCATGAAAAATATCAATTTTTCCTGCGATCTCACAGCGCTCTGGGAAATTTAACAACGCCGTGCAATCGCAGTGGCAACGCGGCTAGGTGTGACAGGGATTTTAGGGTGTCATACTGTATATTCACGCCTTCACTAGTAAAATCTGTATTCGCCCAGTGTAAGTTTCACACTTCACAAATAATTACTATATAGGGCAAAGAGTGCAATCTTGATCATATTCACTGTCATGATAAACTTACTGCGAAGGGGGAAAATGGCAAAAATAAAACTGCATCGAAAATTTCTTGGTATTCATAGACATTTTTTCATTGTTAATGATGTCACTGTGCATATATATATATTTGTCATACTGCAAAGAAAAATGTCGCATGGTGATTGGTCGAATTGCCAAGGTACCTGAAGCTATGTTAGTATCCTTGCCGGGGTACATAAGAGCATGCGCGCCTGTTGTAAGGGAGATAACTCGTAAATTCGAATCGAACACACCAGAGAACGTTCGTCTGCTAATGGCAACAATCAACAATATGGCCTTCGGCTCAGGGTACATAAGGTCCTGACAGCGAACATGAGACCATGTACCCTGCCAAAGACCTGTATAACTAATAATGTAGAACAATTGTATGTGCCTGCATTTTTAGTACTTCAGGGGTAGAAATATCCTATAATTTCGTCCTGAAGAAGCCCACTGCAGGGGCGAAACCGGTCGACACATCTAATAAACTACAAGAACTAGTTGCTCCTTTGCCTGATGTGATTGAATCTAGTTCTTAGTATACAGTTTTGATAGTTATGCCAGAAATATATTGCTAGTATCATCCTTAGAAAAAATAGAATAGGTAGGCAGCTTTTTAAAAAATAGGATAGGTAGGCAGCTTTTTTGAATTTTTGAAAATATTTCTACTGTACTTAATTATACAGAGCAGAATTTCGGACTTTAACAGTGCATATCACTAAATGCCAATAACTATAGGGTGGGCACTACAAACTAGGGTAGGTAGGGTTATTAGCGGAAACACAAGATTTTTCTTATTTGACCTTAGATACCTTGTCCAAAGAATATTTTACAGTAATATGCTTAGGATCACACAATCTCCATTCACATGCTTACCGGGTAAGTCCTTTTTATTTATTTACGTTGTGAATTTATAGCAGACATATATTACCTGTCTAGAGCGCCATGGAGGTGATCAGGTGCCACATCAAAGTAGTATGTAGTGTGTTCGGGACCTGTCGAGGCGTTACACAAACCCCCATGCTCGTTCAGAAACTACAATTCAAGAGCAGAAAACTTGTGAATTTTCAAATGTAAAGGTTCATCTTTTTTATCAAAAATCTCTTTAAACATTTTTTACAGAAGTATTCAGATTCAAGTCAATCAAGTGATTTGATCACTTATGCAAAGTTACCTATAAGTCAACACAATTGCTCCAGAAAATTCACCAACCTGCTTCTAGTTACATAAATCCAGTTATACATTTATATGTTTCAAAAGTTAATCATATTATATTACTGTGTCTAAAATAGCAAATCTCTCAAACATTTATTGATGATTAGTGTGCTGGATGATGATCCTGCGTACAATGGTATAATTTATATACCTTCATACTATTATTATCTGTACATGTCAATCAACAATTAAATGAAAACTACAAACAAAATAACATAATGTTAGGACATTAATCATAATATACAAACACATTAACTTTGATACATCACAGCCTGATCTGTATCCTCAGAATGTTGTTGATGGCTAAGGAAAAGAGTCTCAATGCTCTGTGTTATATTTTACATGTATTTAAAATTATCAGAAATTTATGAACAAAATAATTATATTCATTATCATGTGATTTATACAGGCCTGTTAGTCCTTTTTTATAACTGAATATCCTTATTTTAAATGAAATTAGGATGCAACTTTTTTACCACCTACTGCACATGTACATAAATTTCACTACCCAGTAGTATTGAGCAATAAATGTCTACTCAAAATGCCTCCAAATGCAACCGGAAGTGGAGTGGATTGTATAAGGAAGCACCTTAAGAAGCGACCGGACGCTTACAACGGTGTCAACTATGTAACAGTGAGTCTAATTGGATGATACTGGTCACATGATGGGGCAACAAAACAGCATGTCACCCTCACACACTCAAATTTCCTTGATCATATTTCCCTTATTGGGAGCATCTCTAGAGAAATAGTCAACAGTCACCACAACCTAGTTCCGAATGACGGAAGCAGACGACAACAATGGCACATCAACTTGATCATCTCTACTATTGTGTTATTGTTTTTGATTGATTGCATTTTTTTCCAGCATAATAAACTATTTATTGCTCTTGCAACTATTTATTGTCTTTGTTTCTCTTTGATTAATCATGTTTCCCTACAGGAAGGGCAATAAATGTATAGAATATCCTTTTTACAAAGACATCTCCAATATGTACAGGGACCCTCATCCCTGGATCTGTAAGATCTTGACTGTGTGTTTTCAGTGTAGTATGGTATTTCAAACCTTTTCTGCAACATTATTGGGAATATTTTTGAAACATTCTAACTCACTAAAAACGAATGCCTGCAACCTCGAACTGTCTTTGTATGAATATAGAGAGGAAATATTATAATTTGAAAATTCCCTCTAGTGTGAAGCTAGAAGGCTACCGTAATCCAATGTTAAATTAAATCTGCCACACTACTCCACCCATTTTAGATGTGTTCGCACCATGGGCCATGGACACCATTTGTTACAGGTAAAGAGCAGTGTGCTTTCACATCCTGGGATCAAACCTGCGACCCCAAACTTCTTAGTCATACACTAGTACCTATGAGCTAATTATAGGTAAATTCCCTCTAGCGTGAAGCTAGAAGTTAAGGCTACTGTAATCCAATGTATAATTTAAATCTGCCACATTACTTATGTTCAGTTATTATATAATTTTATACTAATCTTTCCTTTTTTGTTATTCAAAATAAAAAAATATTGTTAAAATCTCTGTCTTTTTTGCAAATTTGCAAATGAAGCAACTTGAGTACAGATATGCACGATAATGCACCATCATCCTGTTGAGAACCGTTACATCTTTGATGTCATTGAATTGGTTGATGACACAATTCTATTTAGTGACCTTGGCCTTGACCATGCGTCGGACCCTCAAATTTGGACCGACCAAGTCCACCAGTATCCATTACATTTGAGTAGAATTGCCAACAAAACCTCATCACTTGGTATGAGGATAAACAACACATAATACAAAAAGCTTCTGTCCAAAATGCATGTATATATATCTTACCTTGTCATACTCATTCTCATTTTCATACTGGAAATAAGACAAATGTGAATAATTACATCAAATTGCCACAAATCCAGTGATATATAATCTTTAAAATATTAAAAAAGTTTACCTTTTTATAGGAGTTCTCTTGTTCAAACTGAAAGTAAGACAAGCACACTTCAATAAGGAATATGACAGCCTCATACCTTTCTAAACTGGTTTAATGTGAACACAATCTTTAACTTAAGTGCACAGCAAAGACTTAAATCATCCGCAATTTAGAGATAATGTTATTGGTAGCCCGAGTTCCCTCTGGCCCTGACACCAGACGTAAACAATTTGACAGATAGATGTCTTCTGGTGTGACATTTATCTGTCAAAATGTCTAAGTCTGGTGTCAGGACCAGAGGAAACTCAGGCTATTTTATCGGGTGTTAAAGGCTAAAAAAAGGAACACCGTTTCAGTTAATTTCACAATTAATGGAAGGTACCTGTTAAAAAGGGAAGCAACTCACTCTTTTGGTGAAGTTATCTGTGTTCTGCCAAAGGGGAATACCTTCATGTTTTTAGTTATTTAAATAGACAGATGAAAATTATATGCAACCTATGAATCAAACCTACCTTCTTAGAACCGAGAAACAGCATGTGTTCACAGAAATGTGCTAAGCCTTGAGTCTCCCAGGGGTCTGACATAGCACCTGTGAGAATAAAGAGGTAATTCAAGTATGAACGTTTATGTTCCTAATTATGTACAGGGGCCACGCCCGGTGGCCATGTGGTTAAGGCGTCTGACATTCTGCTACCACTATAGCCCTCCAACACTGGGTCGCGGGTTCGAGACCTACGTGGGGCAGTCGCCAGGTACTGGCCGTTGGTCGGTTGGTTTTTCTCCAGGAACTCCGACTTTCCTCCACCATCAAATCATGGCACATCCTTAAATGACCATAGCTGTTAATGGGACGTAAAACTCAAACAAACCAAACCATCTTAATTATGTGATAATATATATATATACATTTTGTGTAGCTATGTAAGTGGTAATTCAAAATATGCATGTAGCTAATAGCTATAGCTAGGTGGTAGTTCCTTAAAACTCAGAACAAGTCCAGCTTTTGTTTTAGTCTTATTTGATAATGATTGCGTGACTGACCTATATGGACATCCATGGCAGCGGAGGATTTGTCCGTGTCGGGATCACTGATGACCATGACCTTGAGACCGTTCATCAGCTCCAGGCCACGATACTGACGCTTATCCTGCATGGACTTGATGATCTTGTCATTGAAAATAGATCTTTTGATGAACTTCGTACCCATCATGGAAAGGTTTACTCAATCTCCTGTTCGTCTCAGGGTCTAGATCTATTAACCATAAAAAACAATAGTTATTTTTACCTAGCATGTATTTTTTTTTTTATTTCTTAAATCTCCATCCCATTTAACAATCAGGATAGATCAATAATTTATCAAATTTGATGTTCAAAAACCATAACTTTTGGTTTGAGGACAGCTTTCCCTTGATGTTTTAATTATTTTTATGCCATACTTCTGTGCATAATTGTGGCGAGTAGGGATCGAGAGTATACGGGGGGGGGGGGGGGGGGGGGGAAATCATACAGAGAATGTGATTACAATATGGAATAATATTTTGTGCAATTTCATAATCCAAACTCTTTGAGTGTGTGCTGCACACTTGAAAACAGTAATAAAAATACCCATAGCTTTATATAACAAGAATGGACAAGTTTTATATACCTGCTTGTTCTACGGATAAAGTTTTAAATTTCAATTGCAACTATAATATAGAGTTCATTTACACAGTCATTCAAAGTGTAAAAGAAGTGCATTGATTAGGTTGCCTTACAAGCGTCAGCTGTAGGGAATTTCCCCTTTAGCTCAGCGGTAGAGCATCAGGTTGGAGAGTCAAGGGTCGCGAGTTCGAGCCCCAGCAACAGCACTTAATCTTTATCACTATTCCTCGTCCTATTACAAATTGGTGCCGATGACCCTCCCCGTTCAAGGTAGGAAAATCCTTGGTGGGGTCTGAGTCAAAGAACCTTGGTTGGTGTTAGAAAAAAGAGGAGAATAGTGTAAAAGATGTGCATTATTTAGGTTGCCTTACACTATATTAGCGTCAGCTGTAGGGAATTTCCTTTTAGCTCAGCGGTAGAGCATCGGGCTGGAGAGCCAAGGGTCGCAGGTTCGAGCCCCAGCGACGGCACTAATCTTTATCACTTTTCCTCGTCCTATTACAAAAGTAATAGGGTATGCAGTGCATTGATTAGGTTGCCTTACAAGCGTCAGCTGTAGGGAATTTCCCTTTAGCTCAGTGGTAGAGCATCAGGCTGGAGAGCCAATGGGTCGGGGGTTCGAGCCCCAGCGACAGCACTTAATCTTTATCACTTTTCCTCGTCCCATTACAAAAGTAATAGGGTATGCAGTGCATTGATTAGGTTGCCTTACAAGCGTCAACTGTAGGGAATTTCCCTTTAGCTCAGCGGTAGAGCATCGGGCAGGAGAGCCAGTTTTGATCTGTTGATCGCTTAGAAGTCATGATAAAATAATTCTGAAAAAAATCTGTAACTTTGAAATATATCAATAATAAAATATAATAAGTTATTTCACGGAATTCTGTGGTTATTTTAACCAAATTAATGTTCTGAGAGGTCATATAAAATGTAAAAGAACCAGATTGGGATCCGAACCATGGACCTCTGATCACAGTACAACTTAAACCAACTCAGAGCAATAATAGTCCCACAGTCCCTGTATGGAAGGGAGGTAACTGCATGTAAGAAAACTCCAGTGGTATTCTCATTTTTGTTTTACCTGCGATGACACATTCATCTATTAAACTTTACTGAGCAATGCAAACATTGTTTGACGAAGCGTTATGTCTAGTTTTTGTTATAGTCTTACCTTTTGTTTTGCGTAATAATTTGTCCTGAATTTAAGCCTAGTCAAACTGACAAAGCAAATATTGTGACGAAGATTGGTTGTGGACGCGCTTTACGTATGCACTAATACGAGGTACACATTTCACTGAAGTAAGTCTATTATACACCAATGTATCAGCCCCTTCTCACTTAATGACGAACAGACAAAATGTAATAATAGTGATGTCCGTTGCCCCAGTGACAAAGGGTATTCGTCTGCAGACAAACACCGTACGAAGCAGTGTTATCGGTCTAACCGATTAATGGCAGGATCTAAAGCGTTTCAGATACCCTGATTACATTCGTTCTGGTCGGATTTGGATCACTTCAGTGTTTGTTTCGTATGAAAAAAATGATACTGTATGTTGAAGAAGTGAAATGACAGTGATAACATGAGAGCTAGACGACAGTAAATATGTATCAGATGGTCCCCCCTCCTCAAGACGCTGATCATAAAGGCAATGACATCGCAGATCCAGAAACTGTTAACTCTTGTGAAAAGGCACCGAAAAATGTACCATCTAAATTATGGGAAGTAAGTGTCCACAATCCTAGTCTTATGTCAGCTTTAATTCTAAATTGTTCTCTGCTTTTTTTGCATTGACAGCTTTCATTTTAGAAATTCGACTCAATAGGGCCAATTCAGGTGGTCTTGCAAGTGTTTGATAACTAAAACAGTGTCTTCTCTGACTGGTTTGATAGTTTGCCACATTTTTCGGTCAGCAAATGCTGGGACTTTACTACACGTGCGTAGTTCCCTGTGCCAAATATCAGTGATATTAAACTACTCATGTTCGATGAACTTCCACAGCGAGACGGTTTCCGTTCATTTGAAAAACAAACGGAAGTTTTTACCAGCGACAACATACACATATTACTGATGTACATTGTATATCATGTTGTCTCGGTGAAGTCAGCAAGTGTCTCTATGTTTCAATTAAATAGGTTCAGCACAGTGAGCTGTAAAAACCTACATGTATATATATAAACATGTAACATATGCAAATATATATTATCATCCCACATTGGGTTCGTTACAAATGGCTAAAATACACATGCTATACTGATATGGGTCACAACACACCTAAGCATATTTAGCGAGAAGCTCATCACTGTGAAATATCGTGTTAAATCATCTAAAACTTCACTAATTTAAACAATTGTCCACTATGTGACTGGATATGGGACGTCATCATACCATGTCAAAATTGTGACTTTAATTATGTTGGCACTTGAAAATGTCCACTAAGTGACTCCCTTGTCAAATTATCAATGTGGCCTCTTCATCAGTACTCAGGTAGATTCCATTGTCACAGGACCTAAGTATAAGCTGTTCTGTGACTCAATCATCAGTAGATGTATCATTGTTATAGGACTTAACGATAATCAATGTGGCCTCAGCATCAGTACTCAGGTAGACTCCATTGTGGTAGGACCTAATTATAATATCAATCATCAGTAGATATGTGCTGTCACAGGATCGAAACTAGTTTGGCCTGATTTTGACAGTAGATACAATTGTCATAACTGCTCATAGAACCTTACTTGTTGTGTGGCCCCATCACAAGGCCAGTAGACACCATTTTCTTCCACCCTTCACAGGTGTGTCTCCCATTTTAGCCGGGAAAGATCAGCTTATCACCCCCTAGGGGGATATAGCCTCGTGCCGATTAGCACGTGTTCAATTGTGACGTCATCAAAATACGTCTTCGGTAATTGTGACATCATCAAAAGTGAATGACGATATGCATACCCCACATGTGTTTATGTTTACAAACATGGCAGAATACTGTCGATGGGGCTGTGACTGAAGTAATAGGATGGGAGAAAAATAATCATCCCCTATCTTGAGGGTGTAACAGAGACATCTCCAACCCTCAGAGCCTCGGGTTAGACAACCAAAAAACATCGCCCCTCAGGTTGGAAATTTCTCTGTCATACCCTCAAGGTAGGAGAAGATTCTATTAGTCACATTATATTCAGTATCATTCAAACAGGCCAGTAGGAACAGTAAAAATGCTGACAATCCTTCATTTACAGAGATTTAAGGTTTTGGAGAAGAAGACTGATGATATGACAAGAAGATCAACAGAAAAAAGAACCAAATACATGCAGAAATCTTTAATGAAAAAGGGTGAGTTTTAGTTCTCTTACAAGATAAGTTCATACTTTCATCTATTTTAGGTATTACACGTACATGTACTGTCATGCATTCTAATTGAAATGTATTAAGACTGTTAGCGTTATAAACATCATGGCTACATTTTACATTTTTATCGCCTTGGAGACAGTTGTATCAAATTACATGGCAAAGAAAACTGAATGTCAATTTTCAAATTGAATGTTAATAATTGAATATTTGTTTTAAATATTTGAATAAATATTTCAATATTTCTGTACACATAGCCAGTAATTACAGTTTTTTATTTGTTGGTGATTTTGCATTATGATCAATATATAGATTTCAAAATTATCCTTTGCCTAATTTATAATTACCAGATATGTGAGTTTATGAAGCTTCAGATGTTGAATTACATGTAGTTACCACTGGACAAGATCAATTATATAAACCATGTGGCAATTGCCCTGAAGTATTGGGGGGTCAAGGAGGAAGGAATAATTGACAAATATTGCTGAATGAAAAACAGATTTACTTGAAAAGATATAAGGAATGGAATTCAAGGATGAGGCTTAAGTCAAGTTTTTAGCTCACCTGGCACGAAGTGCCAAGTGAGCTTATGCCGTGGCGCGGCGTCCGTCGTCCGTCCGTCATCTGTCCGTCCGTCCGTCCTCGTCCGTCAACTTTTCCTTTAAACAACTTCTTCTGAAGAACGGACAGGCCTAGAGTCATGATATTTGGCTGAAAGCTTCGTTGGTAGGAGCCCTACAAAGTTTGAGAACGAAAATGACCTTGACCTGTTTTCAAGGTCACAGGGGTCAAATATATCAAAAACTTCAAACGACTTCTTCTAAAGAACTAAAAGGTATAGAATCTTCATATTTGGCTGATGGCTTCCTGGGATAGAGCCCAACAAAGTTTGAGAATGAAAATGACCTTGACCTACTTTCAAGGTCACAGGGGTCAAATGTGTCAAACACTTCAAACGACTTCTTCTGAAGAACTGAAAGGTATAGAATCTTTATATTTGGCTGGTGGCTTCCTGGGATAGAGACCAACAAAGTTTGAGAATGAAAATTAGTTTGACCTACTTTCAAGGTCACAGGGGTCAAATATGTCAAAAACTTCAAACGACTTCTTCTGAAGAATTAAAAGGTATAGAATCTTCATATTTGGCTGATGGCTTCCTTGGATGGAGCCCAACAAAGTTTGAGAATGAAAATTACCTTGACCTTCTTTCAAGGTCACAGGGGTCAAATGTGTCAAACACTTCAAACGACTTCTTCTGAAGAACTGAAAGGTATATAATCTTTATATTTGGCTGGTGGCTTCCTGGGATAGAGCCCAACAAAGTTTGAGAATGAAAACTAGTTTGACCTACTTTCAAGGTCACAGGGGTCATATATGTCAAAAGCTTCAAATGACTTCTTCTGAAGAACTGAAAGGTATAGAATCTTTATTTTTGATTGATGGCTTCCTTGGATAGAGCCCGACAAAGTTTGAGAATGAAAATGACCTTGACCTTCTTTCAAGGTCACAGGAGTCAAATGTGTCAGACACTTCAAACGACTTCTTCTGAAGAACTGAAAGGTATATAATCTCTATATTTGGCTTGTAGCTTCCTAGGAAAGAGCCGAACAAAGTTTGAGAATGAAAATGACCTTGACCTTCTTTTAAGGTCACATGAGGCAGATATGTCAAACACTTTAAACGACTTCTTCTGAAGAACTGGTAGTTATAAAATCTTAATATTTGGCAGGTGGCTTCCTGGGAAAGAGCCAAACAAAGTTTGCGAATGAAAATGACCTTGACCTACTTTCAAGGTCACAGCGTTCAAATATGTCAAACAGTTCAAACAGCTTCTTCTGAAGAATTAAAAGGCATAAAATTATAATATTTGGCTGGTGACTTCCCGGGATAGAGCTCACCAAAGTTTGCAAATGAAAATGACCTCAACCTACTTTAGAGGTCACAGAGGTCAACAACATTTTAATGGATTTGTTCTTGAGAACTAAAAGGAATGGATTCATAAGATTTGGCTGGTAGCTTTTTGGAATAGAGCTAACCAATTTGAGAAGGAAAATGACATTGACCTACTTACAAGATCACAGGGAAAAATATGTCAAGCAACTTCTGAAGAAGAATCAAAAAGCATAGAATCTTATAATAATATTTTGCTGGTAGTTTCAACAGATGGAGCCAACAAAGTTTGCGAGGGAAATATTTTTAGTGCAATATAATATTTAATGAGAATATTTTGCTATGACTGCTTAAATATTCAGGTGAGCGATACAGGCCCTCTTGGGCCTCTTGTTATCATTATACCCCCGCAACAAAGTTAGGGGGGGTATATTGGAATCACCCTGTCTGTCTGTCTGTCTGTCTGTCTGTCGTCCGCAGTAACTTGTCTGGAAAACTCCTCTTTAATTAACAGGTGGATTTTATTGAAACTTTGTGTGAATGATCGGTATTTTATGTTGTTGTTCACTGGCATTGTAATTTAGGATTTCAACCATTTTTGATGGAGTTATGCCCCTTTGTGCTAAATACTTGTTTATTTTTTTGTTATTTTATTTTTTTGTTTTTAATAAAATACTGATTAACTCATTACTGGTGGGAGACTATATTGCTTTGCATTAGTAAGCCTTTAGCTTACAGTTCTGGTTTGTATAGGAGCGGGGGTATTAGTTAGCCTTTGGCTTACAGTTCTGGTTTGTATAGGAGCGGGGGTATTAGTTAGCCTTTAGCTTACAGTTCTGGTTTGTATAGGAGCGGGGGTATTAGTTAGCCTTTAGCTTACAGTTCTGGTTTGTATAGGAGCGGGGGTATTAGTTAGCCTTTAGCTTACAGTTCTGGTTTGTATAGGAGCGGGGGTATTAGTTAGCCTTTAGCTTACAGTTCTGGTTTGTATAGGAGCGGGGGTATTAGTTAGCCTTTAGCTTACAGTTCTGGTTTGTATAGGAGCGGGGGTATTAGTTAGCCTTTAGCTTACAGTTCTGGTTTGTATAGGAGCGGGGGTATTAGTTAGCCTTTAGCTTACAGTTCTGGTTTGTATAGGAGCGGGGGTATTAGTTAGCCTTTAGCTTACAGTTCTGGTTTGTATAGGAGCGGGGGTATTAGTTAGCCTTTAGCTTACAGTTCTGGTTTGTATAGGAGCCGGGGTATTAGTTAGCCTTTAGCTTACAGTTCTGGTTTGTATAGGAGCGGGGGTATTAGTTAGCCTTTAGCTTACAGTTCTGGTTTGTATAGGAGCGGGGGTATTAGTTAGCCTTTAGCTTACAGTTCTGGTTTGTATAGGAGCGGGGGTATTAGTTAGCCTTTAGCTTACAGTTCTGGTTTGTATAGGAGCGGGGGTATTAGTTAGCCTTTAGCTTACAGTTCTGGTTTGTATAGGAGCGGGGGTATTAGTTAGCCTTTAGCTTACAGTTCTGGTTTGTATAGGAGCGGGGGTATTAGTTAGCCTTTAGCTTACAGTTCTGGTTTGTATAGGAGCGGGGGTATTAGTTAGCCTTTAGCTTACAGTTCTGGTTTGTATAGGAGCGGGGGTATTAGTTAGCCTTTGGCTTACAGTTCTAGTTTTGTCTGTAATTAATGGACATGGACAATACGCAATCAGGAATGAGTCAATCTGGTTTATTTCCTTGTCACATTAAAAACATTGCAAGTCCGCTTCAACATTGATCGTGTCATTGATCAGTGACCTAACAGATACAGCGGAAATGGTCTGCCACTTAAACTGTACCTGCATTACGTATCTGGAGAGGACATCATACTTGCCAACTTAAAAAAAAAATCCATGGGGGACATTCTGCATGCTCAAAATTAGAACATAAACAAAATGTGTGTATATACACAATAGAGACAAAATAATCCTTTAAAATTACATATTCTGAGTTGTACTTCTGGATGAACTCATTAGATATTAGAAGATAGGAATAGTTTAGCAAATTCACTGATTGAAAATATTTAATTTAAGGGTCAGAAATTGGGATTCTCCCTCCTAATATAGGGATAGTTGGCAAGTATGCAAAATTTTTACCATTGATTCCAATTGAATTTAGTTAACATTGTTTGTGATTGTATTTATGGTAAGATAAATGCTTCTGTATGCTTTTGTAGTGCAGGAAGAGATAACTCTACCGGAAGACCGAGACATCCTCAGACAGCACGATGTCAAGTTCGGACCGCCTGTAAATAATGACACTGACCAAGTTAACAGGAAACGGAAGTCTAATACGTCCATCGATCCCAGCACACAGGAGTACTTAAATCTTCTTCTTTTTCATACCATCAACATCACTTAAATTTGAACCACAAACGTATATGTACCTTCCATATACGATATAGTAGCCTTCTAGCTTTGAGCTAGAGGGAATTTACCTTTAGCAAAGTGGTAGAGCGTCCAAATAGGGTATGGGATCGCTGGTTCGATCCCTGGTGACACTGTTATGAAAATTCAAGCAAACACGTTTTTTAGATAACACAAAAATCTGTAGTCTTTATGTACATGTAACACTAAGCTTTGGACCTGCTCAGTTTAATACTGTCGAGCACATTTTAATAGAGTTCTTTTTTGAAAAATATTAAGCAGAAAACTGAATGGTGGGTGAAACGAACAATATATATCAAATATGAATGAACATGACTGGTTTTTCCAGAGGTCCGAGTTCAGCAAGTGGCAGTTCCTGGGAGAACATCAAGCCATACTTGACTGCAGAGGATCATCTTGAGAGGCCAGACAAAGATTTCTACAAACCAAAGTCAGGATTAGAGGGTCAGATTACCTCCGCTATCAAACAGGGTGAATTCTCAAAGGCTGAGGAACTGAGTGATCAGCTGTCAACACGAGAGGTTCGTTTTGTGTATTACATATGTATATTTAACCCTTTCACCCCTATGTAATTTTAGCAGACTACTATGCATTGATCTGGATGAGTCCATTATGGTCTATAGAAAATGTTAAGAAATATAAGATGAAATGTGTTTTCGTATGAGGGGAAACAACTTTTGTTCCCAACAGCAAGAGCATTTTGTCAGGAAAGTTTTAGTATGGGTAGACAACTTTATGTTTTTAACCTTTAAACAACTTCTTCTGAATAACCAAGAGGCCTAGTATAATGCCAGTAACATGCTGGGATGAAGGACTACCAAGTGAATGACCTTCACCCATATTCAAGGTCACAGTGGTCAATATATGTTTAAATCTTTAAATTATTTGTTCTGTATAACCAAAAGGTCCAGGGTTATGATATTTTGCCAGAAGCATGCTGGGTTGGAAGACTATAAACTCTGTTCAACCTAATGTCCTTGTTCGACATTCAAGGTCACAGGCGTCATATGTTTAAATCTTTTAATAGGGTCTTATGAATCAAACACTGATATTCTGCCTGTAGCTGTATTTTAGTCCACTTTTAAGATTACAAGTGTGAGATTAATACCAGGTGAGCGATGCAGGCCCATTGGGCCTCTTGTTTGCAATAATATGGTAAATGGGGAGATAACTCAGGTTTGAACAATATGTGTTTTTGTCAATAATTAATATTGAAGACAACTGTTGGTCCAAACTACAGAAAGGGAGACCACTTTATCTATATGTCATATGACTATGGTCTGTTAGGAGTGTAATACACGAATGTATTGAGAGACTGGGTTCTATGTTTTCTCGAGATCTGGTTTGTCAGCAAGACCCCTTTTATATATCCAGTTGAAATGGTCAAGGTTGCACAGAAAGTATGCTGTTATCATATAATAAATGAATACACTTGGACTGGAAGCGGGCCATCTGAAAAGGCAGATCTCTAAAAGCACAATTTTGGAACTTTATGCCAAATAAAATTGGAAATTGTTTTATTTTTCTGGTTGAAAAATAAGTTTTCAATTACTGTTTGTGTTCAAAACAGGCTTAGCATTAAACAGTTTTTTTAGAGGTTATTGCATGTATTAAATAAAAACTATAGTGGTATTCCCTGTGTGTTTTTCCTGTAGTTGGACATGCACAGGGCTCCTTTAAGTAAATATGTCTTGTTGCTTATGTAATTAGAAATGTACCATATTTAATTTCCCTTTTCACCTCATCCAAAAATCATTAAATTTTACTGAGTAATACAATGTAATTTCTCAACAGTTCAAACATTTTGTACAAGAATGCATAAGAAGGGCAACGTACTATATTTTACATGTGATAAGCCCATGCCTGGCAATAAGCCCACCCCCTACTTTTGACATGTTTCATGCACAGACCTCCTGGCCTGGGCTTATCACGATAAAATAGGATATATCAATTTTTTAATACAGTGATTGAGTGGATGCTACAAACAGTATGTTTTTCCTACAAAAAACTCGAAATTGCTTATACATGTACCGATGTATTTTGCGCACCCCCCACTTTGGGTAATACATTTCTGAAAAAAAAAGTGTGCAAATTACATGGGTTTTTACGGTAACTTTAAACCCAGATGGACCTTTGAATGTGTTTTCTTTAACACAGTTTTTGATTCAGATTGACTTGTTAATAAATCATTTCAGAAATCGTATCTGCTGGATAACCGAACTACTCAGAAACAAATTAAGAAAAAGAAATTCACTCCCCTTAGAACTTTATGGATAATGCAGACCATTTTAGACTCCATGAAGTTATGATTTTATCTAAAAACAATCTTTTTAATCGAGAAAAATGAACAAAACCTGTCTGATTTTATGTAATGATTTTATTTGAAATATAACAATGATAATCAAGATGAAATAAACAAAACAAAAAAAGCTAAAATATTGTTCAAGGTAAGGAGAGTGTTAACCCAAATTGGCTAGACTATTTGAACCCTGGACTAAGGTACATGGACCAGTGGTTCTAACCAAATGGGCTACAGTTTACCTTTGTCAAGGGTAGTCACCTGGCCCAGTCCTACGTATACAGGTATATCAAAAAAAGAAATAAGAGGCAGTAAACCATTTGCATGAAAAACTAGAGAATTCTCTAGCGTTTTGATTTCAGTGGGACAGGGATCCTTATTAAATATCTAAATACAAGCACCTTTACTTGACATATATATAGGTACATAATGTACATGTACTGTACATACAATTAAGATAATATCAGGGCTGCAACAATATGCATACCTCATGGTACGATACATCCCACAGTATGATGGTTACGATTCATATCACAATATACTTACATTGTACTTATCTGCCCAAAAGATCAACTTCATAATGATTGAGTACAGGATGTTACAGAGCTTTGTCATAGACTTATATACAAAATGTACTGTCAAAATATATGTTGTACTTATGCACAGTGGGTCACAGATATCACAGATATATACATGTATGGTCCAAAATGAAATTTCCACTTCATACTTAGTCCCATGTCATCATGACTTCCTGTTTGAGTGAGGTCGGTATTGGCAGCTGACTGGCTCCATAACACACATTACATTTCCCATAAAAACTTTTCCGAATCACCAGCCTTGCATAATGGACTAACGATTTTGGTGTTTTGTTATATTCATTCAGCCATTCAACAAACTCCTTTTGCCAGTCATCATTTTGATCGAAACCAGATTTTTGACTCGTTACAAATGAATCGTTGTCCATGTCTTCCGTCGTTCTCCAGATTTTCAAAGAATTGGTAAAATGATTGTCTTTACACCTGTAAAATAAGTTTTGTTTTAAATTGCTACGAGTTCGTGAAAAATCGGGAGTAGCCTTAATGAGTAAGGAAATCAGAATATCCGTAGAGTCATTTGTGGTGTTCCAAAGTATTTCTGCTATATCATCCTCTAACCAGAACGAATCTAGATTCATCCACCCACGACTTTTCTCCAGAAGTAGCCACAGACACTTGGCGTTTTTCTGTTGGAAAGCCACAGTAATGGAGGTTATGTTGAAGTCGTTTTTCTTGTCGGGGTCAGCATGATATTCAAGGAGTTTGGCAACACAATGTCGGTAGCCTTGTCGGGAAGCTAGGTGGAGTGCTGTGTTCCCTCCCTGCACTTGTACCCGACAGTCAACGTTAACTCCAGCCTGTAGAGAGGCCTCTAATAGGGCTACGTTGTTTTGGAGGATGGCAGATTCCAGTTTCTTGGCAGGACTCAGATTATTATGCAGGAGTGACAGCAAATCCATTTTTTTGAAATGTACATCTGTTTTAAACTGAAAAATAAAGTTGTAATTATGTTGGGCTTTAGATTTATAAATGCAATATGCATTAAGATTTATTATAAAATAAAATATACTAAAAAATCCATTAATTGATATTTTCTTGTAAGTGACAGTTGGTTGTTAAGTTAAATAATATACATATATGGGTAAAATGTATACTTAACATATATAAAAATATACTACTGGTACACGTTCATGCATTTTATATATATATACAATTTAGAGTATTTATAAATTATATACAAATGTACAGTCTCAGAACAGGTAAAAACAAGTTGCAAAATTCATTTGATATTATTCTTACCAATGTGTTGATAATCTCCAAATGTAACGTGCGATGTACAACCAGGAAATAGCAAGCGACGCAATGTTGTAAAACCTAAAAACAGACTACAGATATATGTTTGTTCTAAATATAGGTTAGGGAATTTCCTGTGTCTACGTCGCTCACACGCTTCAATTTTGCGCTTCATTTTTTAGGCTGTACCTATTCAATCGGTTCGAATGAATGGTACATGCAACTTCCATACTTTCTTTATCTGGGGATGTTTTCTGAGCGTGTTACACTGTATCAGAGCTAAAATTCTAAAACATCTACTTATAGTCTGCATACATCAGGATATGTCCAAACTGAAGCACGCGACTGACTCTTTAAGTCTTAGATCTGTAATAGGATGATCATGAGGCGTGGTCATGAGCCTGAGGAATAGTTATAAAGATAGTGCCGTCGCTAGGGCTCGAACCCGCGACCATTGGCTCTCCAGCCCAATGCTCTATTGCTAAGCTAAAAGAAAATTCCCTACAGCTGACCTTATACAGATCATCTCAGAACTGTACATTTACTGAGCCAGAGTTTCCTCCGTACAGTGCTAGTCTAAACCACAAGGACCTGAGCATTTGTCACGGCTATGTTTGGACCTAAACGTTAACTATGGTGTTCAGAGTAATTTTACACGCTTTAGGAGTTGAGATCGACTCTCTATAAAAATGCCAACCCCAATCACAGGTACATATACCTACTAGCCTCGGCTGTCAATACACCCATAATATATAATCAAGATTTAGTATGGGTGTATTGACAGACGAGGCTACTACTTGTGCCATGTTGATGATGCGGTTGCATTTTTACCGAAAGTCGATTTAAACCCATAAAACGTGTACAATTACTCTGAACACCTTAGTTTAGGTCTGAACATTGATGTCAGAAATTCTCATGTTCCTATATATATAAAATTAGATCACATATAATCATGATCCGATAGAGACCTTTTACAATACCAAACTGTTGTGAAGGAATACATTAACTTGTTTATTAACGTCTCTGATGTAAATTTCTCATTCGAATATTTAGCTCATTACTATGTAGTCAATAGTAAGAAAAAGATAGTGAATAGAAACCCGAATGAATAACTTCTAAAGCGCTATATATGCATAGGACATACATGTATCAATGGAAAGAATAGACATTTAGTTTATAACATCAGTCAGGCAGAGTGGTTTTCAGCATATTTTTGCCCCGATATGTTGTGGTCAGTGATTGTTTTTAAGTTTAGGATCGAGGATTATTGGATTGCTTTATACATGTTGTATCGGAGTTAGAACGGATAGTAACTGGTCCAAAAAAGTGAACCATATCGTTTACCTTCGCTGGTATTCAAACACCAGCAACATATTCTGTTATTCTTCCCGGAGGTAAAAAAAAAAAACCGTACCAATCTCATATCTTTAGTGTGAAATAGCTGGTAATTATTATAGTTTATTACCTGACAACATCGACGCCCTGACAAACTGATTAAATCCCTATAATCCATATCAGACGTGAAACAGTATGCATCGTATAGGGATCGGACGCCCAAACACGTTTCGTTTTGCCCCAGTTTCGCCCCAGTTTTCTCCTACATTAAACACCCTGACGCTCTTCCGTCCGGACCAGCAATAGTTATTCATATAAGTTGATACAACTTGATGCATGATTGCTGTAAAATATATTTTACAGTTATAGCTATTTCTTGTTATATTTCAAAGTTTTCATAACTTTGATATCGCCGAAGATTTCCCGTTTACGATGGACATGCGCAATCAGTTTCAAATGGCTTATTACCTTGTCTACCTTATTTTCTAATTTTTATTTCAGTTGGGATCAAAAGTATCTAAGGCTTTCGACGCTCACAGATTCGTTGAAAAAAGAAAGGTAACTTGTACAATATTCTTAGAACCTTCGGCATGTAAGTTGGGTGGCCGGGTAGCGCAGTGGATAGCGCACTCGCCTTTCACCAAGACGGCCGGGGTTTGATTCCTCGATCGGACGTGACAAGGTATGGGGTCACCTGCACGACCTTCTGGATTTTCTCCTGGTACTCCGGTTTCCTCCCACATTGAGACCCTCTAGATCTGCGCTTTAACATCCGGGTCAACAACTTGTGAAGGGTATAAAGTTAAGATGATATATCTTGTTTTATTAATGTGTAAAATAAATTAAGAATATATGTATTTTTATACACCTGTAGATGTTAAATGTACCTACATAGAAACGTATATTTATGTTTATATTTAATTCAAATATGACATAACCATATCTTCAGTCCAACATAATGATGTCTATATAGGTCATATTATGACGTAATCAATATTCTATGTTTTTGATGTACTAGTATTTAACGATGTGTCGTTATTTCCCAATTACCGGATATTCACTCGTTATGATTGTATTCATTTCAGGAACAAGAAGACTTCAAAAAGTCAAAAAAGAAGAAAAGTCTTCATTGGGGGTAAGTATGACCACAGAAGACAAATTTTACAAATACAGTCTAAATATAGCGCCCAGTCTGGGTGTACATGTAGCTCATACACGTAACGGTCCAACGGTTTTAAAGTCACATGTATTTGTCTATCACAGTAACCGATGCAGTGACACATCATTTTTTTCTCTGTCGATTTCATTGTAGGTTTCAGGAGAAACAAAGATGGGAAACGAAAGGCAACATGTGATGACGCAACGAGGCGTCATAACCTACTCCTACAAACACGCTAGGTCCTAAAAGCACCACGTGTTTACCGTGCCATTCGACTTGTGTGTCCCCTGTATGAGACATAAGGGAGACAAAAACACATTTGAGATTCTCCTGTTGAGCAGTGAACTCGTACTTTTCCTTCCACATGGAAGATCCGACTACCGGACCAATAGACATTTCTCATTTTGAGGCAGACCTAGCACGGAGTCAGAGACGGACACTGAGAGTAGTAAATTCAGGGAACATCTCAAAATCGTTCTTCGGCTCCACCCTTTCGCAATTAACCAGCAGAATTCAATGAAAGTTTCACATAATGGTTATGTCACTATGTAGAGATGATTTTATGAAAATATAAGGATTCTGATAAACTGGTTTTTTTTTTATAAAAAATACCGAAAAAACCCACATAGTTTCATACAAAAAGAGTGAAAATTTGAACCAAACATTTTACATTTTACAATAATTTTGATTGCGATGAGAGTTGTCTACCTTGAAAAAAATCGGAACTTTTGCAGAGGGATAGAATTTATACAATGACAACTATTTTCTTTACTATACCAAAAACGACGGAAATAAATTAAATTACTATATCAAATTGTCAATTTACAGTTCTTTTACGGAATAATATTTCTCTCAATCATGTTCACTTTGGACATCATTCCATAGGCCGCTTATGCATGGTATATTTATATATCAGGTACATATGTTATCATAGGCTATCGCATGGTATGCCGTTATCACGTGCACGCACATGCACTTCGTTTTATAGGGATTTTGATATTTTACAAACCACTATTTGTGAAATGATTTATTTGACAGAGCGTAACTCGCTCGACAACAAAACTCATTGCGACTCCGAGCTTGTACAGGTGAGGTCGGTAAACAAAACACATCAGTCTGCATTCCATGCGCCTCATATACGACCTTCTTAAAGTCGTCTGATGTTACATGTATGTCAGTGTCTTCCTGTGAGTTAATCAATGTCTTTGTATCATCAGCTTTATTTCTGAAGTACGTGTGATTACACATTTCC